CAAAAATTTTATCAATCGCATCTGCTAGAAAAATGAAAGGGTGGATAAAAACCTTTAAAACTAGGGGGGCCAAGCCCATGATGACACCTTTATCACTTGTTCTATCTAGCTGGAATATGCGTACACAACAGCACCTTTCAAGGCAGGTGAAATTGCTGACCTAGAAAATGTACAGAAACCTTCACGGCGCACATAACGGAGATAAAACACCTCAGTTACTGGAGCGCTTGAGGTTTCCAAACCTGATTTCCCCCGGGAAAGCGGCGGGGGAGAAAAACTGATTAAACACCGGAAAATCCTAGAGGGGCAGTACCGAAATTTCACACAAAATCACTCACTACGAAAGCAAAAAACTTTGGGAACGATGCAACATCCCCCAAAAAACAGGGGGGTCACACACGTAAGAGATCAACAATAAGTTCAGGGGCCCGAGACGTTCAACTCCTCCCCCCATCATAAGTGGCTCGGTGGCCGGTGGCTAAAGCCCCCTTCCACACGAGGGCCCGGTTCGATTCCCGGCGGGGGAAACATTTTGACACTTTTTTCCCTTTCACCTGTTTCCTGTTAGGTAAGACACATATGAACAGTTAGTATCTTTATTATGAAACGTTTCGCCACACAGAGCTTTTTCATCGAGTACAGAAAAATTGATAAAGCAGAAATACTTGAAACGAATAATCATCCAACCCCTTAAAGTTTTGAGGGGGTCAGTCCCCAACTGAGGACGACCCACTCAAAATCCGAACGAAATCTTATCTTATCTTATCTTACCAACAGACCCCTGGCAGTCTTCAAGCTGGCACTGGACAAGCACCTAAAGGATAGGATAGGATTTCGTTCGGATTTTTAACCCTGGAGGGTTAGCCACCCAGGATAACCCAAGAAAGTCAGTGCGTCATCGAGGACTGTCTAACTTATTTCCATTGGGGTCCTTAATCTTGTCCCCCAGGATGCGACCCACACCAGTCGACTAACACCCAGGTACCTATTTGCTGCTAGGTGAACAGGACAACAGGTGTAAGGAAATGTGTCGAAATGTTTCCACCCGCCGGGAATCGAACCCGGGCCCTCCGTGTGTGAAGCGGGAGCTTTTAGCCACCAGGCCACCGGGCCACCTAAAGTCGGTTCCTGACCAGCCGGGCTGTGGCTAGTACGTTGGTTTGCGTGCAGCCAGCAGTAACAGCCTGGTTGATCAGGCTCTGATCCACCAGGAGGGCTGGTCACAGTCCGGGCCGCGGGGGCGTTGACCCCCGGAACTCTGTCCAGGTAAACTCCAGGTTTTCATTTAGTTAGCTGATGATGGGGTGTATTAGGGAGATAAGATGCTTTTTTAACGGTAGTTGAGTCTGTGGTTGTAGAGTTTCCAGGCAGGGAGTTCTAGATTTTAGACCCTTTTATGTACATCGAATTTTTGTAGAGATTTATGGGGGGGGAGTCATCCAATTTTCCTCGCGTTCTCAAAAAAAAATCGAAAAATTATGGAAATTGAGTTATATATACAGAAAAATAGCTTAACTCTTTGGCAACACAATGGTTCCAGAATGAATGTTCTACGACGTTTCTACAAGAAATTATAGTTATTTATATCAGATATGGTGACGGCGATATGGGTAGCACGTCTGCTCACAGCCCATATATTTTTTGGAATTTTTTCCTTGTTCTTTATAGTTTTTTTCTTGCATTATTCTTTCTAATATAATAACTGACTATGTGGCATCATATAAAAGTAGGCGGAGCTTATCTGTAGAGTGCCAGCCAATCGGGAGCCATCTGGGAACCCTCGGCCATATTCTCGCTCCAGAGAGAGCCAGGAGAAATCACTTCGTTATTACGCTTTTATCAGCTTATATATCAACTCTACGGCTTATTTATCTATCAGAATTGATCTAATATGATATAATAAACACTATAAATAACATACAAACATGTTATATACTCTAGACTGAATAAAATAAGCCTTGGTATGGCGAAAGACCATCGGCAATATTTTGATATAAATGAGTTACTCCCCTCCATGTCGTCTTCGAGTAAGAGAAAACGGTATTTTGAAGAGGATAACTGCATTAGAACATCAGTTTACTAAGAAATACACCCAAACAAACGCGATTTTCGCGATTTTTTTTTTTTTTAGACGGTGGGCCGGCCGGCGTTCCAGGCCAATATCTCGGAAGTAACTTATTCACGTAATGAACCTATTTCTTCCTTTATTACTTAATTAAATGGAATAATATTCACAGAAATTGTGGAATAATGATTTCTCTAATTTCCTTCGGGCAATTTTTGGAAATAGTATTCCAAATATTTATTGGGGGGGAGTTAAAAATGTTTTTGGGAGTAAAGCAATGTTCTTCGAAACCATGTCCAAACAACCTTCCTCTCCCATTAGTGAAATAAAGAAAGTATTGAGCAAAGGCATTTTAAGTAAAATTCCTTTTTTAGCCTGTTCTCATTGTTTTGCAGGTATTGTCCAAAAACCATCCTTCCCCATAAAAGGAAAAATTTGTCGCCCAAAAAGGCATTTTAAAAAGTAAAAGGACACAGTGCCTAATTATCTTTTTGTGCAAGTTTGTTCAGAGCTTATATGGTAATTTGATAAATTTTCCAAGAAAAGTGACAAAACACTTTGCTTGTGTCACTTAAATGGCGGAAATCGGACTGTAAACAAAAAAAAACTATAATTAATTCTCTACTGCTCCCTTAGCTGGACGTGAGGAATGTCACAAAGATTTCTGTGTCTGGTATTGTGTCTATGTGTTCTGTTGCAACTCTCAAGAAATTGTTTTAGTTCAGGGTTAATATTAGAATTTATGGTTCTGTAAATGTAGTTTGCACAGTAGCAGGTGTGACTGTTCTGCACAGTGAGTAAATTTAGTTCTTTCAAGAGTGGGGGGTGTATTGTCTAGCATAGGTTTACCTGGAGAGGGTTTCATGGGTCAACGCCCCCGCGGCCCGGTCTGAGACCAGGCTTCATGGTGGATCAGGGTCTGATCAACTAGGCTGTTACTGCTGGCCGCACGCAAGCTGACGTACGAACCACAGCCCGGTTGGTCAGGTACTGACTTTAGGTGCCTGTCCAGTGCTTTCTTGAGGATAGCCAGGGCTCTTATTGGTAATCCTCTTTATGTATGCTGGGAGGCAATTGAACAGTCTTGGGCCCTGGACACTTATTGTGTTGTCTCTCAGTGTACTTGTGGCGCCCCTGCTTTTCATTGGGGGAATGTTGCATCTCCTGCCGAGGTAGAATAATTGATTCAAACGTAGATGTTATGGAACTTCAGGAGGATTTAAACAAACTCTATTCTTGGTCAGAAAAGTGGCAGATGCAGTTCAATGTAGATAAATGCAAGGTTCTGAAGCTTGGGAGTGCCCATAACCCTAGTACTTATAAGTTAAATGATGTAGAACTTAGCCATACAGATTGCGAAAAGGACTTGGGGGTTATGGTGAGCAGCAACCTTAAACCAAGACAGCAATGCCTAAGCGTACGTAATAAGGCAAATAGATTACTGGGATTTATATCAAGAAGTGTAAGCAACAGAAGTCCAGAGGTCATACTGCAGCTTTGTACATCATTAGTAAGGCCTCACCTAGATTATGCAGCTCAGTTCTGGTCTCCATATTACAGAATGGACATAAATTCGTTAGAAAACATTCAGCGTAGGATGACTAAATTAATACATAGCATTAGAAATCTTGCTTATGAAGAAAGATTGAAGACTCTTAAGTTACATTCACTTGTTAGACGAAGAATGAGAGGAGACCTGATCGAAGTGTATAAGTGGAAGATAGGTATTAATAAAGGGAATATTAATAAGGTCTTGAGGATGTCTCTCCAAGAGAGAACCCGCAGTAATGGATTTAAATTAGATAAGTTTAGATTTAGAAAGGACATAGAAAAGTATTGGTTTGGAAATAGGGTAGTTGATGAGTGGAACAGTCTACCTAGTTGGGTTATTGAGGCTGGGACTTTGGGTAGTTTCAAATTTAGGTTGGATAAGTACATGAGTGGGAGGGGTTGGATTTGAGTGGGACTTTCACATCAGAGCTTATTTCTTGGGTGGCATTGAAAATTGGGTTGGGCAAATGTTTTGTTAGTGGGGTGAATTGTAAAGGACCTGCCTAGTATGGGCCAACAGGCCTCCTGCAGTGTTCCTCCTTTCTTATGTTCTTATGTTCTTATATGGAGTGATTTTCGTGTGCAGGTTTGGTACAAATCCCTCCAGGACCTTCCAAGTGTATATTATCATGTATCTCTATCGCCTGTGTTCGATTGAATACAGAGTAAGGACCTTCAACTCTTCCCAATAGTTTAGGTGCCTTATCGCACTTATGTGTGCTGTGAAAGTTCTTTGTACACTCTCCAGGTCTGCAATGTCGCTAGCCTTGAAAGGAGCCATTAGTATACAGCAATATTCTGGCCTAGAGAGCACAATCGATTTGAAGAGAATCATCATGGGCTTGGCATCCCTAGTTTTGAAGATTCTCATTATCCATCCTGTCATTTTCCTAGCGGATGAGGTGGATACATTGCTGTGGTCTTTGAAGGCGAGATCCTCTGATATTGTCACTCCCAGGGCTTATTGTAGGTTTGCATGATAACTTTTACTGCGGCTTTTTGTTGGGTTATTTTGGCTTTAGGTGGGTTACTGCTGTTGATTCCCAGGCACAAATAGCATAGGTGAGGTAGGATAGATGAGCGAATAGTATAGTGTGAGTAGGGCTGATTATGGTACGTAGTAACTAGTAACATACCTTTGAGAGGATCCCAACTGTTTTGGATACTTTTTTTATGTGTTAGATATGGGTGTTGAATTTTAGGTTGCTGTCAAGGTGCAGGAAGTAGGCAAGGAAGGCCTCCAAACATAAGTGAAAACAATTTGCTTCCGATTCTATACCGAAGGGAACCTCTGTTTCATTTCAAAGATTTGGGGAATATTTCTTTCCCATACAGAGGAGTGAAGCGCCAAATGTAGTGAGAGCCGTCGCATGCCCTTTAAACCCTCAACAAGGAGATCAGCAGCCGACTTGTGCATCAGACCTGGTGCTGTGAGCATCTCTTACTCCACTCTCTGCTCCGGTAACAATTTTCCACATTATCTATATTATTTTTTGTTTGTGTCACCTGAGCAGCCAGCTTATTGTGTACCCTATGCTTATCTTGTGATCTGCCAGCTTATTGTGTACCTCATGCTTATCTTGTGAGCTGCCAGCTTATTGTGTACCTCATGCTTATCTTGTGAGCTGCCAGCTTATTGTGTACCTCATGCTTATCTTGTGAGCTGCCAGCTTATTGTGTACCCTATGTTTATCTTGTGAGCTGCCAGCTTATTGTGTACCTCATGCTTATCTTGTGAGCTGCCAGCTTATTGTGTACCCTATGCTTATCTTGTGAGCTGCCAGCTTATTGTGTACCTCATGCTTATCTTGTGAGCTGCCAGCTTATTGAGTACCCCATGCTTATCTTGTGAGCTGCCAGCTTATTGTGTACCCCATGCTTATCTCGTGATCTGCCAGCTTACTGTGTACCCTATGCTTATCTTGTGAGCTGCCAGCTTATTGTGTACCTCATGCTTATCTTGTGAGCTGCCAGCTCATTGTGCGCTATGCTTATCTTGTGAGCTGCCAGCTTATTGTGTACCCCATGATTATCTTGCGAGCTGCCAGCTTATTGTGTACCCCATGCTTATCTTGTGAGCTGCCAGCTTATTGTGTACCTCATGCTTATCTTGTGAGCTGCCAGCTTATTGTGCACTATGCTTATCTTGTCAGCTGCCAGCTTATTATGTACCTCATGCTTATCTTGTGAGCTGCCAGGTTATTGTGTACCCCATGCTTATCTTGTGAGCTGCCAGCTTATTGTGTACCCTATGCTTATCTTGTGAGCTGCCAGCTTATTGTGTACCTCATGCTTATCTTGTGAGCTGCCAGCTTATTGAGTACCCCATGCTTATCTTGTGAGCTGCCAGCTTATTGTGTACCCCATGCTTATCTCGTGATCTGCCAGCTTACTGTATACCCTATGCTTATCTTGTGAGCTGCCAGCTTATTGTGTACCTCATGCTTATCTTGTGAGCTGCCAGCTCATTGTGCGCTATGCTTATCTTGTGAGCTGCCAGCTTATTGTGTACCCCATGATTATCTTGCGAGCTGCCAGCTTATTGTGTACCCCATGCTTATCTTGTGAGCTGCCAGCTTATTGTGTACCTCATGCTTATCTTGTGAGCTGCCAGCTTATTGTGCACTATGCTTATCTTGTCAGCTGCCAGCTTATTATGTACCTCATGCTTATCTTGTGAGCTGCCAGGTTATTGTGTACCCCATGCTTATCTTGTGAGCTGCCAGCTTATTGTGTACCTCATGCTTATCTTGTGAGCTGCCAGCTTATTGTGCACTTTGCTTATCTTGTGAGCTGCCAGCTTATTGTGCACTATGCTTATCTTGTGAGCTACCAGCTTATTGTGTACGCTGTGCTTATCTTGTGAGCTGCCAGCTTATTGTGTACGCTGTGCTTCTCTTGTGAGTTGTAAGCTTATTGTGCACTATGCTTATCTTGTGAGCTGCCAGCTTATTGTGTACCTCATGCTTATCTTGTGAGCTGCCAGCTTATTGTGTTCTCTATGCTTATCTTGTGAGCTGCCAGCTTATTGTGTACCCTATGCTTATCTTGTGAGCTGCCAGCTTATTGCGTACCCCATGCTTATCTTGTGAGCTGCCAGCTTATTGTGTACCCCTTACTTATCTTGTGAGCTACCAGCTTATTGTGTACCTCATGCATATCTTGTGAGCTACCAGCTTATTGTGTACCCCATGCTTATCTCGTGATCTGCCAGCTTATTGTGCACTATGCTTATCTTGCGAGCTGCCAGCTTATTGTGCACTATGCTTATCTTGTGAGCTGCCAGCTTATTGTGTACCCCATGCTTATCTTGTGAGCTGCCAGCTTATTGTGTACCTCATACTTATCTTGTGAGCTGCCAGCTTATTGTGTACTCTATGCTTATCTTGTCAGCTGCCAGCTTATCTTGTGAGCTGCCAGCTTATTGCGTACCCCATACTTATCTTGTGAGCTGCCAGCTTATTGTGTACCCCATGCATATCTTGTGAGCTGCCAGCTTATTGTGTACCTCATGCTTATCTTGTGAGCTGCCAGCTTATTGTGTACTCTATGCTTATCTTGTGAGCTGCCAGCTTATTGTGTACCCTATGCTTATCTTTTTGAGCCTGCCACATATTGCGTACCCCATGCTTATCTTGTGAGCTGCCAGCTTATTGTGTACCCCTTAATTATCTTGTGAGCTGCCAGCTTATTGTGTACCTCATGCATATCTTGTGAGCTCCCAGCTTATTGTGTACCCCATGCTTATCTTGTGAGCTGCCAGCTTATTGTGTACCCCATGCTCATCTCGTGATCTGCCAGCTTATTGTGTACCCTATGCTTATCTTGTGAGCTGCCAGCTTATTGTGCACTATGCTTATCTTGTTAGCTGCCAGCTTATTGTGCACTATGCTTATCTTGTGAGCTGCCAGCTTATTGTGTACCCTGGGCTTCTCTTGTGAGCTGCCAGCTTATTGTGCACTATGCTTATCTTGTGAGCTGCCAGCTTATTGTGTATCCTGTGCTTCTCTTGTGGGCTGCCAGCTTATTGTGCACTATGCTTATCTTGTGAGCTGCAAGCTTATTGTGTACCCCATTCTTATTTTGTGAGCTGCCAGCTTATTGTGTACCTCACGCTTATCTTGTGAGCTGCCAGCTTACTGTGTACTCTATGCTTATCTTGTGAGCTGCCAGCTTATTGTGTACCCTATGTTTATCTTGTGAGCTGCCAGCTTATTGTGTACCTCATGCTTGTCTTGTGAGCTGCCAGCTTATTGTGTACCCCATGCTTATTTTGTGAGCTGCCAGCTTATTGTGTACCACATGCTTATCTCGTGATCTGCCAGCTTATTGTGTACCCTATGCTTATCTTGTGAGCTGTCAGCTTATTGTGTACCTCATGCTTATCTTGTGAGCTGCCAGCTTATTGTGCACTATGCTTATCTTGTGAGCTGAGAGCTTATTGTGTACTTTGCTTATCTTGTGAGCTGCCAGCTTATTGTGTACTATGCTTATCTTGTGAGCTGGAGACCTGGAGTTTACCTGGAGAGAGTTCTGGGGGTCAACGCCCCCGCGGCCCGGTCTATGACCAGGCCTCCTGGTGGATCAGAGCCTGATCAACCAGGCCGTTGCTGCTGGCTGCACGCAAACCAACGTACGAGCCACAGCCCGGCTGGTCAGGAACCGACTTTAGGTGCTTGTCCAGTGCCAGCTTGAAGACTGCCAGGGGTCTGTTGGTAATCCCCCTTATGTATGCTGGGAGGCAGTTGAACAGTCTCGGGCCCCTGACACTTGTTGTATGGTCTCTTAACGTGCTAGTGACACCCCTGCTTTTCATTGGGGGGATGTTGAAATCGTTTTGCCAAGTCTTTGCTTTCGTAGTGAGTGATTTTCGTGTGCAAGTTCGGTACTAGTCCCTCTAGGATTTTCCAGGTGTATATAATCATGTATCTCTCCCGCCTGCGTTCCAGGGAATACAGGTTCAGGAACCTCAAGCGCTCCCAGTAATTGAGGTGTTTTATCTCCGTTATGCGCGACGTGAAGGTTGCCTGTACATTTTCTAGGTCAGCAATTTCACCTGCCTTGAAAGGTGCAGTTAGCGTGCAGCAATATTCCAGCCAAGATAGAACAAGTGACCTGAAGCTGCCAGCTTATTGTGTACCCCATGCTTATCTTGTGAGCTGCCAGCTTATTGTGTACCTCATGCTGATCTTGTGAGCTGCCAACTTATTGTGTACCCTTTGCTTTTCTTGTGAGCTGCCAGCTTATTGTGTACCCTATGCTTATCTTGTTAGCTGCCAGCTTATTTTGTACCCCATGCTTATCTTATGAGCTGCCAGCTTATTGTGTACTCTATGTTTATCTTGTGAGCTGCCAGCTTATTGTGTACCCCATGCTTATTTCGTGATCTGCCAGCTTACTGTGTACCCTATGCTTATCTTGTGAGGTGCCAGCTTTTTGTGTACCTCATGCTTATCTTGTGAGCTGCCAGCTTATTGTGCACTATGCTTATGTTGTGAGCTGCCAGCTTATTGTGTACCCCATGCTTATCTTGTGAGCTGCCAGCTTATTGTGTACCCCATGCTTATCTCGTGATCTGCCAGCTTATTGTGTACCCTCTGCTTATCTTGTGAGCTGCCAGCTTATTGTGTACCTCATCCTTATCTTGTGAGCTGCCAGCTTATTGTGCACTATGCTTATCTTTTGAGCTGCCAGCTTATTGTGCACTATGCTTATCTTGTAAGCTACCAGCTTATTGTGTACCCTGTGCTTCTCTTGTGAGCTGCCAGCTTATTGTGCACTATGCTTATCTTGTGAGCTGCCAGCTTATTGTGTACCCCATGCTTATCTTGTTAGCTGCCAGCTTATTATGTACCTAAAGCTTATCTTGGACTGCCAGCTTATTGTGTACTCTATGCTTATCTTGTGAGCTGCTAGCTTATTGTGTACCCTATGCTTATCTTGTGAGCTGCCAGCTTATTGTGTACCCCATACTTATCTTGTGAGCTTCCAGCTTATTGTGTACCCTATGTTATCTTGTGAGTTGCCAGCTTATTGTGTACCCCATGCTTATCTCGTGATCTACCAGCTTACTGTGTACCCTATGCTTATCTTGTGAGGTACCAGCTTATTATGTACCTCATGCTTATCTCGTGATCTGCCAGCTTATTGTGTACCCTATGCTTATCTTGTGAGCTGCCAGCTTACTGTGTACCTCATGCTTAACTTGTGAGCTGCCAGCTTATTGTGTACCCCATGTTTATCTTGTGAGCTGCCAGCTTATTGTGTACCCCATGCTCATCTCGTGATCTGCCAGCTTATTGTGTACCCTATGTTTATCTTGTGAGCTGCCAGCTTACTGTGTACCTCATGCTTAACTTGTGAGCTCCCAGCTTATTGTGTACCCCATGCTTATCTTGTGAGCTGCCAGCTTATTGTGTACCCCATGCTCATCTCGTGATCTGCCAGCTTATTGTGTACCC